ATGTGATAAGTGGAATCTGTCGATCAGTGTGGTTAAAAGTTTCTGGGTAGTGCCCAAGGTAGAATATCTGGGTCATAAGGTCTCGCACAAGGGACTGGAGGCGAACCCGAAGGATCTGTCGGCACTTACTGATCTAGCTATTCCAGGTTCACTTAGGGAGATGCAGTCATTTTTGGGAAGTCTGAACTATTACAGCCAGTTCATTGAAGACTATGCGATTTACGACAGTACTGTATGGATTGCGAGAAATTGACTTTGCTGCGATGATGAAGGAGGCTACCCAAGTGCAGATCCAGTAAGTGTTGGAAACGGAGGACATGGATCGAGGATCACAGGAAGTTCAGGTGGTGGACCACCGAAAGACTTTGGATCTGGAGGCGCCAGATCCCACCGAGGTGGATCCGCGTTGGATCCATGCCCATCGATCTTTCGATGCGCTCAAAGCCAAGATCACTACTACTCCGATTTTACGACCACGGTAGTAGTGTATGCTAGCGATTGGGCCATTTCGGGATCATTGATGCAGGAATACGACCAGATCTACTACCTTGTGATGTTCGCGAGCCGCACTTTGAAGTCGAATGAGCTGAATTATGGCATCGCGGAAAAGGAGGTACTAGCCCTCCTAAGGATCCTGGATCTTAACTACAATACACTGGTCGGGCGTCCGATCCACGTGTTGACCCGACACTCAACATTGGCGTGGCTCTTCAGATCCACAGCCCTACATAGACGCATAGGACAATGGGCTGCTCTGTTGTCGCCCTGGACCCTTGAGATCACCAAGTGTGTAAAAGGAGAAGACGAGATCTTAGGAGCATTGGCAGCCAGTATTACCCCTAGATCCGAAGTGGATAAGGCGTTGACCTCGATTGCCCCTAAAAAGGAGCCAAGACGTAAGATCCAAGCTCCGATCCCCACTATTGGACGCGACGAGGATCTATACGTCGTTAGTTTCGATGGATCTTCCCGTGTCAAGAGAGAGGCGGAGGCGCCTACAGCGCGATCTTGTGGAAGCTGCCTGAATGGAGGGTGTTGAAGACTAGATTTGGGTACGCCGAAGGCTTGACGGTGAACGAGGCGGAATACCATGGGTTGTTGCTATGTTTGGATCTGTTGGAATATTTGGATCCGCGACGCCTGGTGATCTGCGGAGACTCAAACCTGGTGATCCGCCAAGTACGAGGTGAGATCGACTGTAAGGCACCGGGTTTGACACTGTTGCGCCAGCAGGCTTTGGATCGACTCCGCGCTTGACCGGATCACGAGCTATTTCATGTTTAGCGGGATTGGAACGGGAGCACTGACAGCTTGGCCAACGCCGCACTACAACGACAATGTGGGATCGAGGTCGAGACCGAAGATGGGATCCAGGATCTAGTGACCTTGAACCGGTTGGACGAGATCCTGGTGGTGAAGATCGAAGACGAGATCGCACAGATATCCGCCGTAACGATCCAATCGAAGGCTAGATCTGGAGTGCGTATCGGATCAGATCCAGACTCATTACGTGAGGAAGTTGTGAGAGAGTTGAGGATCGAGCGGATCCGACAAGCACAGGATGAGGAGTCGTGGATCCTGGACTTGAAGAAGTATTTGGTTGGGGAGATCCGGGATCTGACACAAGATGATGCTAAGATGTTTAGATCTATTGCTATGAATTACGAAGTGGATCAGTCGGATCTACTCTTTTACTGCCCGACAACTAAGGAGGAAGCCGCAGATCGAGACAAGTTGATGCGATTGGTGATACCCGAGACACTCCAACAGGATATTTTGCATCACTATCATACGAGCTTGCAGGGTGGCCATCAAGGAATTGGCCGGACTTATGATCGGATCCGCGATCACTTTCACTGGAGAGGGTTGTACAAGACTATACAACGATATGTGGGAGAATGTGTTGATTATGAAACTGGCAAAGGACGACCTCGGATCCAGGGTGAGTCGCCTGGTAACCTTCAGGCGACATACCCATTCCAGATCATTGCCATGGATTACATACCTTCATTGCCTAGATCCTTCAATGGCAACACTGAATTGTTGATCTTCGTGGATCTATTCTCGGGATATGTGATCGCCAAAGCCAGCGCCTCTAGATCCGCTCAGTCAATCGCTGAGACCTACGAGGAATGTGTCTTCCGCAGGTTTGGTCCAAGCGAGGGGATCCGGCATGATCGGGAGCCAGGCTTTATGTCTGACTTTTTAAGTCCTTCAACAAGATCTTGGGACAATGTCAACGTGCTACTATGGCTTATCGACCCCAAGCTAATGGATCCGCAGAGCGTATGGTCCGGACAACTACCAGGGCTTTTAAGATGTATGTGCAGGATTTGGATCAACGAGATTGGGACGAATACGCTGAACGGCTCACCTTCGCGATCAACTCTGCAAGAGGTCCGATCCGTCTTTCTACATGATACATGGCTGGGATCCTAGATCTATTTTGGAAGCGGTGATCCCAGTGGAGAGCACTCGCAGGCACGATCGAAATCCAAGAAGATGGCGATATCGGATCGGCCAAACATGCATAATGATCTAGTACGTCCTCATCCTGTAGAGTCTGGATCAAGAGTCTGGTTATACCTAGATCGAGTGCGTGAGGGATATGCAAAAAAGCTGGCGCACTTGTGGCATGGCATCCATTCTGCGACGCAGAATAGATCATGCCACAAGTTCGTCAGTTTTGGTTGAGGTTGGAGGTCGCAGGATCATTATACAGCATTTTCCCATTAGTGCATGTTTCGAAGATCAAACTGGTCAAGATATTCCCAGATCGACCAATAGCTCGTCTAAATGAGGCGGATGGAGATCCGGTGGACTTCGATGAAGCTCCCCCTACCTGAAGACAGCTGGATCCAGGATCGGTATCCGGATAAATATGAAGTGGAGCGAATTTCCGATATGAGGACTGGCAAGCGGACTAGGTATGGACGTATCTACCGAGAATTTTCTGGTACACTGGCGTGGATATGAAGATCCAACCTGGGTAGATGAGGCAGATCTCAACTGCGGTGCTCTTCTCTATGAGTTATTGCGAGATCGCACTAATCGCAACCGTTTTGGTGTGATGCAGTCTCATGAGGAACCGAGAGATCTGGATCCACACTGTTGAGTTGGTCGCCGGTGTGGTTGAAGGCTGATGGATCTGCAAGGGGATTGCAGATCGGAGGACAGGGTTTACGTGACTTTGTATATGATGACATGTTGATGGAGGATCGGAGTGGAAAGAGATTGATTCTGAGATGGACATGGAGTGAGCTGGAACGAATTTCGATTGTGGATCTAGGACTGTATTATCTGAGAAATGGTGGATCAAATGGCGAACGACAAGTGTGGAGGTATTAGGGTGGAGATCTGTGCGGATTACCGCTGTTGGAAATTTGGTTAAACCAAAAGGTACCGACGAGCCGTGATCGGAGTAGAAATGACATGTATTACGGTTAACGAAGTGATTCGGAAGAAATGCACGGAGAGGCGTCATGATCACGGCTGAGGAGGAAGAGGTGGTGCGTTGGGGTTCAAGGCCACCATATTGAAGAATTTGCCCGCGAGACGCGCGATCCGGCGAACGAGGTGACCTGCATGGTGAAGTCGGTAGTGGGTACGCCACGGATCTGCAGCGTCACACTCAGCGAGATCCTCGATCAGGTCTGCAGGCTCACGACGGTGCAATTGTGGATCCGCGAGATTGGCGCTGCGATCCGCGATGCCAGGGTACCAGGCCACTTCATCCGTGCGCTTGAGGAAGTGAAGGAAATATGGATCCAGCAACAGATCTAGATCACACCAACCCTCGCGCATGGCGATCAAGAATAGCCGCAAGATCTGCTTCCACCTGGCGCCAGCATGAGACCGACGGTTCTTCCGCTCCACAACAAAAAGCGCCAGATACGGATCGCTGCGGATCAATGCGGGTGGGACTGGGAAACGGTGTGTCGACTCCCAGTAAGCGATCAGATCCTGGAGCTACACTGCCGAATATCTCTCGATCAGGAATCCCAAGCGACCATCAACCGTGATCTCGAACGACATGGGCTCCGGGATGTTGGCACCAGTAAGGACGTTCCAGGGAAGAGCAGCTATGAGAGCACGAACGTTTTGACCCGTGATCAAGTGGCCGCAATACTGATCCGATCTGGGAGTGGCCACCCGAGGAACATGGCTGGGGAAGATCCACTCAGGATGAAATGGGAGGACACGAGATAGCACCTCCAGGGTCATAGTCATAATCGTCAGAGTGTTGACCCTCTGGATCACCCACGGATCCACGTCGGCAATGTTGGACTGACGAGTCTGTTGGCGACCAGGGATGCACACATGATCAGGAGTAAAATGGAAGCATCGTCGAAACAAGAGACATCCCAGCCGGATCCACAGGAGATCCACCACCACCACCACTGCCATTGCTCGAGCCGTCACCATCAAAATTATCGCCCGATCCAGGATCACCAGCTCCGCCGGCCCCGGCTCGATGGGGAGCAGCGTGATCGCGGAGCCTCTGCTCGGAACTGGATCGAGAAAGGGCCATGAGTGTTTGGGTTTGCAACATGTCGTCCAGAGTGTGGTCATTTTTGCCATCAGCCGAAGTGTCGGCCTCTGATTCCCGATCCTTCCCCTCCAGATCCGCGTCCTTGCAAAGCTTTGGATCACCAGTGAGCTGAGGCTTGGGCTTTGACTGCGACTTGGAGGTGGGTTCCGTGCTCACGGGAACGTCAGGTTTCTTGGGCCCATTCTTTTCGTAAGATAAATAACGCGGCTCAGGGGCCGGTACAGGACTTGAGGTTCCACGATCCTCTTCCAAAATCTCATCAAGTAAAGCATGCTCTAGATCCTGTGTCTCCTCGACGTCTGAGCCTCTACCCATGTCGTAGTTATCTGGATCTTCTTCCCGATCCAGATCCTTCTTATGATCTTCAGTCATGGGGGGGCTTCTGTATCGAAGGACGATCTGCATCATGGTGAGGAGAGGAAGAACAAGACCGCTTACCCGAGGGAAGGCCCTGACGCTTGTGGTTAGAGGAGTATCCATCAGATCCGTTGGGCGTGGGTTTGTAATCAGGATCGCGGTCGAGCTGATCTTGATCCGACTTGTCCTGCTCCGAGTTGTCTTGATCGGGCATGTCTTGATCCGAGTCCTCTTGATTGGGCATGTCTTGATCGGAGTTTCCGTGATCCGACTTGTTCTGATCCGACTCGTCTTGACCAGACTTGTCTTGGTCCGACTTGTCTTCATCTGATTTCTTCTGGTCGTCTGGAGAGTTCTCAGATCGCTCGTTGCCGGAATCCGTGTCGAGACAGAGTGTGGTAGTTGGGGGCTTAGATCCCATACCAGCTGCCACGGTGGACAACATCACCAAGGCTGTACGTAGCTCACAGCGTAGATCTGTGCGTTCTTGGGTCAGGGTAGCCAACCGACGATTCAGCGCTAGGATCTGAGCCTTATGGTCGGTGATCGAGCGCTCGGAGTCCGCGTAGGCGTACGAGCGACGGTAACATCGCGCTCTGGGAGACAGAAGCAGAGTTAGTGAGGTGATATGATCCAGATCCAGGAAGAGGACGTACGCAGTTCCTCGCTCTTGTCACGGTGCCTCTTTTCACGCTTGATGGCACCGGCGAGATTGACGCGAAGGACATCACTGCGCGATTTCGTCCGCCGGATCTCCTCAATGTGTTGCTGGATCTGCTTCTGAAGCTCGCCGGCCTCACGATCTTTGGTTTGAACCTGGATATTTAATGAGTCACGCTGGTGAGAAACTTGGTCGAAACGGTCCTGGAGGTCGCCATGCTTAGACGTCAGTTGATTGAAGATCCGCAGACGGTTGATCTGGCGAAACGATGGGTGCGACCCGTTCGCGACCACCAGATCCGCCTCGGTCTGATCCAGAGTCAAACACGTGTGGCGGAGTACAGCCTTGGTGACTTGCAGCTGATCGGTATCTTGATCACGATCACGATCGGCCGAATCACGTTGCCCTTGTAGATCCATTATCTCCGGGTCGGCATGTTTCCTCTCCTGTAACAACTGCCTCACTTGAGACTCTAGATCCGCGACCTGAACTTCGAGAGTGGGCACGTCAGCCGCGGAAGGCTGCTGATCCGAAGGACTTGGACCACCTGCGTCTACCGACACCTGTAGATCATCCCGCTCGACGCGAAGTCCGTTGATCGTCTGCTGTATATGTGCGATCGCCCGATCCTGCTCCTGGATGTAGTCGCGGAGGTCGGCCAAACGGTCTTGGTGCTCTACTGACGACGGATCCGAACCGCGAGGCAAGGTCTAGATCACCAGAGCGGTCGTGGGCTCACCCACACGACGGAAGAGGCGCGTGGTGTAGCGGTGGAGTTCCTCACGCGTGCTGTGTGGATCGAAGGCGGATCCCGGTGATCCGCCACTCGAGGATCCGCTGGGGCTTGGAGCGTTGGACATTTTGGTGTTGAATATCTGCGACGAGCGGAGAATAAGAAGAAGTGTCTGCTGTGATCCTGGTCGGCAGCAACGACTACAGACAAGAGGCGATTGTGGCGAAGTGGATTCCGAGAAATTACGGACAGGAAGTGATCGGGTCAGGTGAAGTGACAGGTATGCCTGGATCTGTAGTGACTACAGTGGATCCAGATCCGAGAAGGTCTGATGGACTCAGATCAACTGATTCTGGGTTAATTGGAGTGATCTGGGAGGACCTAATTATAGGTGCCTGATTCGGGTATAATTATGCCTGATTCTGATATGATTACCCAAGGCGAATCAGGATCAAGTAAACAAGATAAGCATTCGGCGGTATACAGCCAGATCCGAAGATAAGCAGCTGTTGGGAAAGAAATATGTGGATCCAGGTAGTAGAGGATGAGACAAATCAGGATCAAAGGCATAGGAATAACAGAGAATCGATTTTGCATCATTGGGCACAAGTGGTTGGTTTCTTTGTTTAATCCACACTTAGTGTACTACGGACACCTCGGATCAAGGCATATACTGGTTATATAAGGTGATCTCGTATCAGGAATACTGTACTTAGTGTAGATCGGATAACTGGATAATATATTGGCCAGATCCAAATTCTATACGTGCAAGCTCCGGATCCACATCATTTAGTGCTTGGCTGCGATGATCCATTGTCTCTCAACTTCCCCCAAGATCCAGCCATCGGAGGCTGCAAGCAACT